TCTATGAATTTGACTACTCTAGGGACCTCATGTAAGTGGAATCCTGTATGTGTCTCTCTGGTAGTTTTTGACTGACTGTTCTCAACAGACAGTCCCTGGGAAGGAGAACCCAACCTGAGAAGCTCATGACTCCCCCTGTAGAAGTTGCTGGGCCTACCCTGCATATAGGAGGGTATTGCTGAAGAGCCTGTCTTAGCCTCACAGTCACTGCCCTATAATTGCCTAGTGAACAGGACCAACTAGCCTTTTCCTCTTTTCTCTCACTGCCACACTCCCGAGAAATTTCCTGGCCTTCTGTGTTCAGCCACAGTGCCCCCTCTGTCACTGCCCAGGACCTCATGGCTGTAGCTAAGCCTCCTTCATTTCAACCAGTTTGTTGTTTAAAGCTAGCTTTTTTTTTTTTTTTTCGAGACAGACTGTCGTTCTGTTGCCCAGGCTGGAGTACAGTGGTGTGATCTCGGCTCACTGGGCTCACTGCAACCTCTGCCTCCCGGTTTCAAGAGATTCTCATGCCTCAGCCTCCCGAGTACCTGGGATTACAGGTGCCTGCCACCACACCCAGCTAATTTTTTGTATTTTTAGTAGAGACAGGGTTTCGCCATGTTGGCCAGGCTGGTCTCAAAACTCCTGGCCTCAAGTGATCCGCCTGCCTCGGCATCCCAAAGTTCTGGGATTACAGGTGTGAGCTACTGCGCCCGGTCTTAAAACTAGCTTTTTATTCATTTGTTCATTCATTTGTTCAGTGATTCATATATACAGCAAATATTTATTCCAGTAACCCAGCAATAGAGGAAATCCCTCTCCCTTTAGCCCCCAGAATGGTTCATTCTGCTATGTATTGAGTATCACATTAATCATATTTTATTATATGATCAGTGGTTTACATTGTGTTCTTCCACAAAACTGAGAACTTCTTTTTTTCTTTTTTTTCTGAGACAGAGTCTCACTCTGTCGCCCAGGCTAGAGTGCAATGGCACGATCTCGGCTCACTGCAGCCTCTGCCTCCCGGGTTCAAGTGATTCTCCTGCCTCAGCTTCCTGAGCACCTGGGACTACAGGCACCCACCACCACACCCAGCTAATTTTTTATTTTTAGTAGAGACAGGGTTTCACCATATTGGCCAGGTTGGTCTCGAACTCCTGACCTTGTGATCTGCCCAACTCAGCCTCTGAAAGTGCTGGGATTACAGGCGAGCCACCACGACCAGTCTGAAAACTTTTAGGCAAAAATGTCCCCTGTGTGGGAAGTCAGGGGAGGCTTCACAGAGAAGGTGACATCTGAACTCAGCCTTGAAAGGTATCTAGGCAGAGGTATAGAAGGAAGGGCATTCCAGCAGGACAATAGCATGTACCAAAGCACATAGTCTGAAAGTGCATGCTGGGGTGTGGGGTGTGATGAGGTAGAAAATGAGAGAAAAAGCTGGGCAGAGCCAAACTGAGCCGTGCCTCACACGCTAGGCTAAAAATCACTGTGCGAACTGTGGAAGGACGGCTGTCAGACTGTGTGTTTGAAAGTTCTCTCTCAGGCTGGGTACTATGGCTCACGCTTATAATCCTAGCACTCAGGGAGGCCAAGGTGGGTGGATTGCTTGAGTCTGGGAGTTCCAGATCAGCCTGGGCAACACGGCACAACCCTATCCCTATAAAAAATACAAAAAATTAGCTGGGTGTGGTGGCACATGCCTGTAGTCCCGTCTACTCAGGAGGCTATGGGAGGATCACCTAAGCCCAGGAGGTTGAGGCCGAAGTGAGCTGTGATCATGCCACTGAGTTCCAGCCTGGGTGACAGAGTGAGACCTATCTCAAAAGAAAAAAAGAAAGTTCCCTCTTAGCCACAGTAGGGAAGATGGGGGCAAGGAGAGTGCCTGGAGGTAAGAACAAGAGGCTATACATGCAGATGACAGCTAAGCCACTGTCATACCCATGAGGGTGGCTAAAATAACACAGATAATAGCAAGTGTTGGCAGGAAGGTAGAGAATGTCCACACAAAACCTTGTATCTGAATGTTCATAGCAGCACTATTCATAATAATGAAAAAGTGGAAACAACCCCAATGTCCATCAACTGATGAACAGACAAATTGTATATCCATACAATGAAATACTATTTGACCATACGAAGGAATGAAGCACTGGCACATGCTACAACATGGATGAACCTTGAGAACATTAAGTGAAAGAAGTCAGATATAAAAGAGCATATATTATGATTCTGCTTAAGAGAAATGTCTGGGAAAGGCAAATCCATGGAGACAGAAAGTAGATTAGTAGTTGCCTAGGGCTGAGTGGAGGGATGGGGGAATGAAGAGTGACTGCTGAGTATGGGGTTTCTTTTTAGGGGTGATGAAAATATTCTGGAATTATATTGCCGTGCAACTCTGTGGATATAATTTTAAAAATCTACTGAATTATATCCTTTAAAGGATGAGTATCATGGTTTGTGAATTATATCTCAGTAAAATTGTACTTTTAAAAACTGGTGTCAAGGGAGAAAAATGACAATGAAGCCTAAGCTAGAGCTCTGGGTGCTGGTCCTCCTTGACACCTCTGAGCCAAAGCAGTCTGGTGGCACCAGCACTACAAACTGAGTGCTGATCAGCTATGCAGAATCTTCAGCAGTTGGGAGGCCCAGTGCAGTGCAGTGGAAGATACAGTATCTAGAGTCACAGGGATCTGTGCCAAAGCCCCTGCCCAGCCTCTGACTCTGAAGATGTTTAGCAAGTCACTTCTTACTAATCTTCATGTTCTCCATCTGCAAAATAAAAGGGGTGTTTTGACATGAGAACAGCCTCTATTTCCCCAGGAATGGATCACGGTGGAGGAAAGTGTTAGTTGAAATAAGAATAGAGAGAGTGTCCAGGGTCCACCATGCTGGGTCACATGGGGTAAAGGGGCAGGTCAGTGGCAGCAGAGGGCTCTGAAGAAGGGCTATAGGGCACTGGAGTGATAAGGGTGGTTATGGGGATGATAAGTATATGTTTAACTTTATAATAAGCCATCAAATTGTTTCCCAAAGTGGCTGCACCATTTTACCTTCCCACCAGCAATGTATGAGTGCCAGCTGCTCCACATTCTCCTCAACACTTGGTGTTGTCAGTCTTTTAACTTTAGCTATTGGTAGATGTACAGGGGTACCTCTTAGTAGTTTTAATTTGCATTTCCCTAATGACTAATGATAAATATTTTCATGTGCTTATTAAAGCATACAATTTTGGCCGGGCGCGGTGGCTCAAGCCTGTAATCCCAGCACTTTGGGAGGCCGAGACGGGCGGATCATGACGTCAGGAGTTCGAGACCATCCTGGCTAACACGGTGAAACCCCGTCTCTACTAAAAAATACAAAAAACTAGCCGGGCGAGGTGGTAGGCGCCTGTAGTCCCAGCTACTCGGGAGGCTGAGGCAGGAGAATGGCGTAAAAACCCGGGAGGCAGAGCTTGCAATGAGCTGAGATCCGGCCACTGCACTCCAGCCTGGGCGACACAGCGAGACTCCGTCTCAAAAAAAAAATAAAATAAAATAAAAAATAAAGCATACAATTTTGATGAAAGGTCCTGTTGCTTTAAAAAAAAAAAAAAAGGTTGAAACCCACTGGCTTAAGTAAACTGTGAGGCTCTTCCAGGGTCTGTAATCTATGAATATTTTAGTGTGGCCCAGGGTCCATCTTCTTTTCTGAAACAAAGCACTCTTTTTTGTTTTTTTTTTTTAAGATGGAGTCTCGCTCTGTCACCCAGACTGGAGTGCAGTGGAGTGATTGTGGCTCATTCTGCTCCCGGGTTCAAGCAATTCTCTGCCTCAGCCTCCCAAGTAGCTGGGATTACAGGACCCCACCACCACGCCTGGCTATTTTATTGTATTTTTAGTAGAGACAGGGTTTCACCATCTTGGCCAGGCTGCTCTTGAACTCCTGACCTTGTGATCCACCCACCTCAGCCTCCCAAAGTGCTGGGATTACAGGCGTGAGCCACCGCAATGGAGTTTAGCTCTGTTGCTTAGGCTGGAGTGCAAGTGGTGCAATCTCAGCTCACTGCAGCCTCCGCCTCCCGGATTCAAGCAATTCTCCTGCCTCAGCCTCCTCAGTAGCTGGGACTACAAGTGTGCACCACCACACCCGGCTAATTTTTGTATTTTTAGTAGAGATGGGGTTTCACCATGTTGACCAGGCTGGTCTCAAACTCCCAACCTCAGGTGATCCGGGCCCCTTGGGCTCCCAAAGTGCTGGGATTACAGGCGTGAGCCACTGTGCCTCGCCCAAAGCACTGTCTTGAATGTAGGTAAATCACACAGTATAAGCACTGTGCTCTGTTATGAGGGTGAGAGATTAAGCCAACAAACATTTCTTGATTATCTACAGGGCTATAATCCCAAATCTGAAATTCTGAAATCCAAATAACTCTGAAAACCAAATGTTTTTTCTTGGTTGGCACCAAAAGCCACTGGTAGCAAAACATGACCTGAATTTTATTTATTTATTTATTTATTTATTTATTTATTTATTTATTTATTTTCTGCAGAAGGACCCTCTATTGTCCCAGGCCTGTGTTGGCTGCCTAGAAGCCTTGCTTGACTACCTGGATGCCCGGAGCCCAGACATAGGTAGAAACTCTCCACATTCTCTGATGTTTCCATGAGAGAGATTAGAGGGAGCCATACCCTTCCATCCTTCTGTTCCAGCCTCCCATCCCCTTGTGTGACTCACACTTGTTTTTTTTTTTTTTTTTTTGAGACGGAGTCTCGCTCTGTAGCCCAGGCTGGAGTCCAGTGGCGCGATCTCGGCTCACTGCAAGCTCCGCCTCCTGTGTTCATGCCATTCTTTTGCCTCAGCCTCCTGATGAGCTGGGACTACAGGCACCCACCACCACGCTCGGCTAATAATTTTGTTTTGTATGTTTAGTAGAGACGGGGTTTCACCGTGTTAGCCAGGATGGTGTCGATCTCCTGACCTAGTGTTCCGCCCGCCTCAGCCTCCCAAAGTGCTGGGATTACAGGCGTGAGCCACTGCGCCCGGCCTGTTTTGTTTAATTCTTTTAGCAGCACTGCAAGGGCAGTCATGCCCATTATACAGATGAGATCAATAAGGTTCAGAGAGGTCAAATGATGTGCCCAACCAAGGTCACAATGCTCTTAAGTGGCAGAGCCCTTCTTACTACCTGCCTTCCACAATCATGGCGTATATAGTTTCACTGAGCCAGCCAACATAGGTGGATTAGAAGCACAGCAAAGAAAGAACCCTCCTTGGGTCAGCTTCTCCAGTGCCCTGTCTCTAACTGGGTAGCCCCTTTTTAAGCCAATAGTAGAAAGTCCTCTTGAGCAGTGTCCCAAGGCAAGGCCTTGGAAGCATTAACAACACAGTGTTTGTTGAAGCTCTTCACGTGGCCTCCCAGCCTTGGAATCGGTTTTTGCTGTTTACACTGTTGGATGCTGGAGAGAATTCCTTCCTCAGACCTGAGATTTTGAGGCTCATGACCCTGGTAAGTGCAGAAAGGATATCTTGTGGTCTGAGGAGTGTCATGAGCTAGGTGGTGCTGAAGACGCCAGGGTCTCCTTACTTTAGGAAACCCTAATCCTCAAAGAAGGTGGAAGGGCTGGGCGGGCCTTCACCCTACAAGGGGCCTGCTGAAAGAATTCCTCTGAATGCCCATATCTCCTCACGCCAGGGGACCCCGACACCCTTTCCCCTACTTCTCTCATGACATGTTGACCAGGGCCTGTCTACCACATGCCAGGTCTGCTAGATACTAAGGACGTCAATGAACCAGATACTCTGCCTTTAGGGTCCCTCAGTCTAAAGAGGAGGATAGACAAGTAAACTAGTAATGTAAATATGACACTACAAGTGGTAGAGTAGAGGAGATGCTAACTGCGAGGCACACAGTAAGTGCCCCTTGAATAAATAACAAAGCAGCGAGCCTAAGAATGACAGCGAAGTGGATCAACAAGTACATCAGTGGTTGGTGTAGGAACAAAGAGGAAAGAGTAATAGCTTCTCAGCAGTGAAGGAAACATTTTAGCTGTGGCTTGAGAGATTAATAGGCAGAGAGGAGGAAAGGTGTTCCAGGTAGTGGAGTAAGAACAACAGGTACAAGAGCACATGGTGGTATGTCAGGGGAGCCACACGTAGTTGATTTTGGCCCTGAGTGTTCAGTGCAATGTTGGAGAGGAGGGAGCCAAGGCCAAAGGGGCCAGGAGGGCCAACTCTCTCAGGATCTCACAGTTTGCCTTACTTACCCCACTTCCCCATGACATAGCCCCACCTCTGCCCACTAACTCTGAGCTCCTTGAAGGCAGGCAGGTTCTGTGGGCCTCAGGACAGTGTCCCCTAAAGTTGGGGCACAGCAGATGTCTATGATGGAGATGCCAAATCACTGGGTGTTTGGGGCTTCTCTTCCTTGGCCAGTTTATGCGGTACCGGAGTAGCAGTGTCCTCTCTCATGAAGAGGTGGGTGATGTTCTGCAAGGTGTGGCTTTGGCTGACCTGTCTACCCTCTCGAACACCACACTCCAGGCCCTGCATGGCTTCTTCCAGCAGGTGGGTGGGAAGGGGAGGCCATGCAGCCACTGTAAAGCTAGATCCTCAAGACCATCTTCTCTTGGAGGGTGGGAGCTCTGACCACAGCAGCCAAGGAATGGGAGGCTGGAAGTACAGAGGATGGAGGCAGTTAGGGCCTAAGTGGAGTGGGCACCGAGGAGGCCTGTCTTCCCTGCCTTCTTCTCCCTGCAGCTCCAGAGCATGGGACACCTGGCTGACCACAGCATGGCCCAGACCCTGCAGGCCTCTTTGGAGGGCCTTCCCCTTAGCACCTCCTCAGGCCAGCCACCCCTGCAGGACATGCTGTATCCTTTCTTGCATCTGGGAGCCTTGGCCTGGGCAAGCTTTCCCAGGCCGTAAGAAGCTGTGGCATCATGCTTCAGGACATAGGTGCACTATAGTCTTGTTTTCTAAAGTAAGCAGGGGTCAGTGAGGATAATTAACAGTGTTGACAACAGCAATGCCGTGTCCTGTTAATATTAAGTTCCTACAAAGACTAGGCACATTACAAGCATTATATATATATGTATGTATAAATACATATTTTTTTATTTTGATATTCTCTCACCCAGGCTGGAGTGCAGTGGCACAATCTTGGCTCACTGCAACCTCCGCCTCCTGGGTTCAAGCAATTCTCCTGCCTTAGCCTCTCGGGTAGCTGGGACTACAGGCGCCTGCCACCAGGCCCAGCTATTTTCTTTTTTTTGTATTTTTAGTAGAGACAGGGTTTCACCATATTGGACAGGCTTGTCTCGAACTCCTGACCTTGTGATCCGCCTGCCTCAGCCTCCCAAAGTGCTGGGATTACAGGCGTGAGCCACCATGCCTGGCTACATGCATTATATTTAATCCTCACATCAGCTAGGAGTGTTAAGGTAGTTGTAGTACAGGTTGAGCATCCCTAATACAAAAATTAGAAATCCAAAGTGCTCTGAATCTGAAACTTTTTGAGTGCTGATGTGATGCTACAGGTGGAAAATTCCATACCTGACTTCATGTGATGAGTTGCAGTCAAAATGTAGTCAAAACTTTGTTTCATGAATAGGCCAAGTGCGGTGGCTCATGCCTGTAATCCCAGCACTTTAGGAAGCCTAGGCAGACAGATCACTGGAGGCCAGGAGTTTGAGACCAGCCTGGCCGACATGGTGAAATCTCATCTCTGAAAAATACCAAAATTAGCTGGGTGTGGTGGCATGTGCCTGTAGTCCTAGCTACTCGGGAGGCTGAGGCACAAGAATAGCTTGAGTCGGGGATGTGGAGGGCAGTGAGCCGAGATCACACCACTGTACTCCACCCTGGGCGACAAAACAAGACTCTGTCCCAGAAAAAAACCAAAAAATTTTGTTTCATGAATAAAATTATATTTTTAATATTCTTTTATTTATTATTTTTTTAAGACAGCATCTTGCTTTGTTACCCAGGCTGGAGTGCAGTGGTGTGAACATAGCTCATTGTAGCCTTCACCTCCTGGGCCCAAGGGATCCTCCCGCCTTAACCCTCCAAGTAGCTGAGACTGCAAGTGAGCTACACCAGTCTCAGCTACTTGAAGGTAGCTCCAAGTAGCTCTCACGCCTGGCTAATTTTTGAAGTTTTTTGTAGATACAGGGTTTCACCATGTTGCCCAGGCTTGTCTCAAACTCCTGAGCTCAGGTGATCTGCTTGCTTTGGCTTCCCAAGTGCTGGGATTACAGGCATGAGCCACCGTGCCTGGCCCATGAACAAAATTATTTAAAACACTGCATAAAATTACCTTCAGGTGTCCAGACGTGTGGCTCACGCCTGCAATCCTAGCACTTTGGGAGGCCGAGGTCAGTGGATCACCTGAGGTCAGGAGTTACAGACCAGCCTGGCCAACATGGTGAAACCCCATCTCTACTAAAAAATACAAAAATTAGCTGGGCGTGGTAGTGTGCACCTGTGATCTCAGCTACCCAGGAGGCTGAGGCAGGAGAATCACTGGAACCTGGGAGGCAGAGGCTGCAGTAAGCCAAGATCACACCACTGCACACCAGCCTGGGTGACACAGCAAGACTCCATCTCAAAAAAAAGAAAAGAAAGCTTGGGGGCTGGGCACAGTGGCTCACACCTGTAATCCCAGCACTTTGGGAGGCCAAGGTGGGTGGATCACTTGAGGTCAGGAGTTCTGCGACAAGCCTGGCCAACATGGTGAAACCCCATCTCTACTAAAAACACAAAAATTAGCTGGGCATGGTGGTGCACGCCTGTAATCCAAGCTGCTTGGGAGGCTGAGGCAGGAGAATCGCTTGAACCCGGGAGGCGGAGGTTGCAGTGAGCAGAGAGCTAAGATTGTGCCACTGCACACTCCAACCTGGGCAACAGAGTGAGACTATGTCTCCAAAAAAAAAAAAAAAAAAACTTTTTGGGGGGCTGTGGCAGTGGTCAGAGGCCCTCTGGTGGGTGGTTGCACCCAGAGACACTGCAGTCCAGAGGTGTGTGTGAGGGTAGTTTGCTTCCTCCGCACCTCTCTGGCTGCCTCCCTGGCTCTCCTCCTTGCCCCTTCCTTGGAATAGTTCCCTGTTGAATAGCAACTACCTAGCCCAGGTGTTCAGGACCCAATTTTAGAATCCATCCCACTATTCTCAGGAGCACCTCTGTTCTTGCCTGACCATTCTTGCCTGTTTTGGGCTCTGGAAGTGTGATGCCCCCATGGTTGGCCCTACCTCTCTGCTGTTTTCCTCTCATGTTTTGCTGCCAGCTGCCTGGGAGGGGTGGCTGTATCCCTGTCCCACATCAGAAACTGATCCTCAGGACTTGAAGGCCCAGAAATGGAGAGAGAATGAGACCTGGAGACAGAGAGCATAATTGTTGAGGAAATGGATGACAGTTGAAGCTATTCATATGGAGCCATATACTCCATTGTTGAAATAGAATAAGGAAATAAAATGATACACTCACATACCTGCGTGGGCTCTCCAAAAACACCGTACTGCCTTGTCTACCAGGAGCTGGTTTCTCAGCCAGTTGGATAGGGGATTGTTTCAGCAAGGAGACTGATGGCCTCCTCAGGGAGGGAGGGACGGGACAGGATTCGTTCTTGAAACAGCACTCAGGGAGTCAGCTGGGTGCCTCAGCTGTACTCAGAGAACACCAGTCAGGCCATCCTGGGGCTGGCAGGGCAAAGAAAGGCCTAGGGGTTGGGGCTGCTGCGTTCCAAGTGCTCCGAGAGGCAGTTGACCTGCTCCCTCACCTCACATGGAGGTGGATAGAAGTAAACTTTCCAGGCAAGGAGGGTCAAATTCTCAACTTTCCTATCAGAACGAAACTGTCCCAGCCTCAGCCCTTCCCTGGCTAAAGTAGGTCCCCTCTGTCCCTTCCCATACAGCCATCATCGGAACTGGTGTTTATGCACCCTTGTGGGTAAATCTTGGGAATGCATGTCCAGCTCGGCCCCCGGCATGAGGTCTAAGCTCAACCCAGACCGGGCCTCTAGCTTCCTTTCCCCCCGGCAGGGGCCCCGGGCCCGGAGATGGCCACGCCACGCTGCCTCCTCGGGTCTGGCTGTCCTGATCCTGCGTAAAAGTGGGGCTGCACTCGGCCTAACGAACGGACGGGGAAGCCCCCGACGCACTTGGTTTATTAGTTGGACCGGAGGGGCAAGCAAGGGATTCCCGAACCCTGCACTGCGTCTGTGTGAGGTCCTTAAAAAAGAAAAAACGTGCTAGTCACTGCCCACTAAAGTCACCTTGCGATCTAAAATCTAAAAACTCGGCCACAGACGACGACACAGTTTCGAGGAGGGCGTGCAAAAGGTCACCCGGCCGACAGGAGCTGGGGCCCCTGTTTGCTGATTCACACCTTAAATTGGGCACAGACCCCACCTGCAGATTTAACTTCCTTCAACCCAAGCTAAATCCAGGGCCACGTACCCGGTGCCCGCAGGAGGGGTAGGACGCGGCCGGGTCAGACAGCGCGCTGGAGGTACGCCAGAGTCGGGCGGGGCGGGGCGGAGCGGGGCGGGGCGGTGGGGCAGGGCCGGAAGTGAGGCCAGCGGAGCCCGGCGTCGCGGCTCGCGCTCATTGGCCGGGAGCAGCGCGGTGGGCGGGACGGCGCTCGGCGGTCCGCTCTTGGTTGCTAGCTGGGTGCTGCTGCTTTCAGTGCGTTTGCTGTTAGCCTCTTGGAACTTCGAGCCCAGCTGCTCGCACAGGACTCGGCCACCTGCCCTTCATGCACCGCCTGGCCAGGTAGGTGGCGGTAGGGGCGGGGGGCTGCAGGTTCCTGGGGAGGATAATGAGAGAACCGAGGGCCCCGAACCGGCCGCAGGTGGTGGGGAGGGAGTTTCGTGGACCTGGACGCCTCTGTTCCTTGAAAGGGCTCGCTCCCTCCTCCGGGAGCCCCGAAGGCTCGGGGTCAACCACCCGGGCCCCCGACCCCGGTAGCCGACTCAAGGCCCGCCACTACCAGGTACCTTGCAGGAGTTCAGAGCCTCATGCTGAGCCAGGAGGAGCTCCGGGGGACGCACAGGGCAGGATCGGGATTGAGAGGCTGAAAAAGTGAGTGTAACAGTAGAGAAAGCAGGACCTGTCCCTCAGTCTGCTGTTCTGGGTTTTCTTTCCCACTTCCCTGCTTCAGTCATTGCCAGCTGTCTGGTATTCTCCTTGTCCCCTAAAGTTTTGCCCTAGCCTGGTTCTGGTTCCCTTGAGTTTGGAGCAGGAGGTGGAATGTGGAGGGTCCTGGGTGAACTTGAACTATTCCTTCTCTAGGTTTCACTTACTCGTCTGCTTGGGGGTAGGGGGTTCTCCGGATGACCTCTGCAGCCCCTCACTGTCTGTAACTGAGCATCTCTCCCCTGGGGCAGATCTCCTGGTAGTTCAGTAGCCAACTCTGATCTCAGGTAGCCTGTGCTCATTTAGGAAGAGTCAGAAGACAGAGCACTGGACTTAGAGCCAAACAGACTCTTGGTTCGGCCTGGCAATAGCTGTGTGACTTTGGGCAGTCACCTCATTTTTCTGTGCCTTGATTTCACATTGGTAACATTGGGGAGTTGTAATCTGAGTGTGAGAGCTCTCCTGACCACTTTATGTAATCTTGCACCTAACCGACACCCTCTCATCCTTCTGTGATTGTTTTACAAATGTATTGATTGTTTTTTATCCCTACTAGAGACCTAAGTACCAAGAGTGCAGAGATTTTTGCTTGTCTTATTTATTGCTGTATTCCTGCCTCTAGAACAGTGCCTAGAATGTGGTAGGTACTGTCAACCTAAATAACAGAGTGAGAGACTCTAAAAAATTGATGTTTACTTGGGAATAGACATTGTAGTGAGAATATGTGTGCCATAGTAACCTCTGTACGTATTTGGTAAGGTTTTGAAAGGAAAAATGAGGATTGCATAATTATTTTGAGATAGTTATCCTTGGCTACAAGGATGAATAGTAAGAGTGGTGCCAGTCTGAGGTTAGACAGGCAGTTGCAGGGCAGATGTCCTCACAGAAATATTTTTCTGTGTAAGTCTGCAATGGTCTCTGTGCAGGGTTGTGGTTTTTGCATTTTTTCTGATCTTGTTATCAGTCATTTGTGCATGAGAACCCTCTTTTCATGACCTTCCTTGGTTTTGTCAGAGTTGTTCTTGTTTTTTTCCCATTGGAGAATCATGCTTTAAATTTGTCAGAGTTTTTAACACAAACGACTCTGTTTTGATTCTAACAGCTTTCATATTTCCCCCTTTTGGTCAAGATCTTTCTCCAAAAGACTTATGATCGGTCATCCTGTAGTTAGGTCCCCCAGTGCTGGGATGGACCTATCTTGGGTTGTTGGTCTCTTGCCACGTTGAAGGGAATTATTGGTGACTAGGAGTCAGTATCAAAACCCTTGTAGTGGCTGGGAGCAGTGATTCACGCCTGTAATCCCAGCACTTTGGGAGGCCAAGGAGGGAGTATCACTTGAGTCCAGAAGGTCGAGACCAGCCTGGGCAACATGGCAAAACCCTATCTCTACAAAAAATACAAAAATTATCCTGGCAGGGCCGGGCATGGTGGCTCATGCCTGTAATCCCAGCACTTTGGGAGGCCGAGGCGGGCAGATCATGAGGTCAGGAGATCGAGACCATCCTGGCCAACATGGTGAAACCCTGTCTCAACTAAAAATACAAAAAATTAGCCAGGCGTGGTGGCAGGCGCCTATAGTCCCAGCTACTCGGGAGGCTGAGGCAGGAGAATGGTGTGAGCCGGGAAGGTGGAGCTTGCAGTGAGCCAAGATCATGCCACTGCACTCCAGCCTGGGTGACAGAGTGAGACTCCGTCTCAAAAAAATTAATTAATTAATTAAATTAAATTAAATACAAAAATTAGCTGGGCATAGTGACACATGCCTATAATCCCAGCTACTAGGGAGGTTGAGGCAGGAGAATTGTTTGAACCGGGTAGGCGGAGGTTGTGGTGAGCTGAGATCACACCATTGCGCTCCAGCCTAGGCAACAAGAGCAAAACTCCATCTCAAAAAAAAAAAAAAATTATCCAGGCATTGGTTGGGGAGTGTGTGGGGGAGAGTTGGGTAGAGAATCACTTAAGCCCGGGAGTCTGAGGTTATAGTGAGCTGTGATTATACCACTGCACTCCAACGTGAGTGACAGAGCAAGACCCTGTCTCAAAAAACCCCAAATACCTTTTAGCCACATTTGAGCAGCAAGGGAGGTTTGGAAGGAGTGGCTCTCAAGATAAGTCTACCTGGAGTTCATTATTAAGTTCAATTTTGGCTGTTCCATAGGCATTTGCTATCATTGCAAACTTCTGGGTCAGCATTATTCTGTTAGGAGTGGTACCTCACCAAAAATTTAAAAAGTAACAGGTATAAAGTTTAAAAAGAAAATAGGGCTGGGCATGATGGCTCACCCCTGTAATCCCGGCACTTTGGGAGGCCAAGGCAGGCAGATTGCTTGAACCCAGGAGTTCGAGACCAGCCTAGACAACATCACGAAACCCCGTCTCTACAAAAAATACAAAAATTAGCCAGACGTGGTGGTGTGCAACTGTAATCCCAGCTACTCGGGAGGCTGAGGCAGGAGAATCACTTGAACCTGGGAGGCAGAGGTTACAGTGAGCCAAGATGGTGCCACTGCACTCCAACCTGGGCTACAGAATGAGACTGTCTCCAAAAATAATATAAAATAAATAAATAGGAAAATAGGAAGTAATATTAATAGCAATATGATAATCTCAGTTTGCATTATAGTTTTAAGAGGCCCAGCATGGTGGCTCATGCCTGTAGTCCCTGCACTTAGGGAGGTCAAGGTGGGTGGATTGCTTGCACCCAGGAGTTCGAGACCAGCCTGGGCAACTTGGCAAAACCTCATCTCTACAAAAACAAGTACAAAAATTCTCCAGGCACAGTGGCATGAGCCTATAGTCCCAGGCTACTGGGGAGGCTGAGGCAGGAGGATTGCTTGAGCCTCAGAAGTCGAGGCTGCAGTGAGCCAAGGTGGCACCACTGCATTTAAGCCTGGGCAACAGAGTGAGACCCTGTCTCAAAAAAAAATAAAATAAATAAAAATAAAAATATAAAAAAATTCTGAGACATGAACCTAGGCTTAAAGACAACCAATTGAATAAGTCAGATGCCCGTTGGGAATTAGATGAGACCTATTGTAACCATGAGGCCTGCTTTATTTTTTGTATTTGGGTCTCAGCTTCCCAGAGGAATGTATCCAGGTACAGTATGTAGTATTAGCAATAGCACCAACATTTGTGAATAGATAATATAGCTCAGTTTTTACCACCTACTATGCCATAACTGGGTTGAGTTAAAATAGAGAGTGAGCAACAGTTTTTTAGGGTTTTGTTGTTTGTTGTGATCAACAGTTCTGTTAGGGATGTTGCCAAAGTCATCCACGAAGTGGCTTAAAGGATCTCTTGAGTCAGATTCTGTCAAGTTACCAGCAGAAGCTACTGATTGTGAAATTTCAATTACACCATTATCCTGCCAAGTGAAAAAAAGGAGACATTAAAACGGATAAGAGTTGGCCGGGTGCGGTGGCTCACGCCTATAGTCCCAGCACTTTGGGAGACCAAGATGGGTGGATCACGAGGTCAGGAGATCGAGACCATCCTGGCTAACATGGTGAAACCACGTCTCTACTAAAAATACAAAAAAAATTAACCCGGGCGTGGTGGCGGGCACCTGTAGTCCTAGCTACCTGGGAGGCTGAGGCAGGACAATGGCGTGAACCCGGGAGGCGGAGCTTGCAGTGAGCCAAGATTGCGCCACTGCGCTGCAGCCTGGGCAACAGAGTGAGACTCCTTCTCAAAAACAAAACAAAACAAAAAAAAAACAGGTAAGAGTCTCAAAATGATATGGAATCTTGTTCCAGTGTCTTCGGAAAAGCTATCTACGGTATGAAACCATCAACTTCTTATCCTGGTTTGCAGTTTGAATGTCTCTGGTTACGGCATTGAGAGGTTTGGTGAACTTTCTGTGTGACCCATACATTAGGCACAAGGCTTGTCCATTAAAGTTCATCTAGTTTCAACTTACAGGGCTTCAGGAACAGAGCAGTGCCCATTTTTAATAATTTCATGGAAGAAAGTTGGATTGGAGGAATCTAGAATTCAGGAGCTAATCCAGTATACAAGTAGGTAATGAGAACTCAAAAGCAATGCACAGGGCTACAGTCTAGTAACAGGTATACTCTATCTTTTTTTAGAAACAAAATTTTCTCTTTACAGTGATCACATAGGAGTACCAGGTTTAAAAACCGTTTGAGGCTAGGAAGGAAAACCAAGGCAGACTTTAGATTTTACTGCACAGTCATAAGGTTCCTGGGCCTGCCAGGAAGTGACAGATTTTACTCATTCACTGTAAGGCTGGGAATCTTTGAAGGCAGGCTTTCTATGCACATTTTCAAGTATGATATTCTAGTTAAAGCTGTGGTAATATAAGCAGTATTTATTGTATTCTGTTATAATAGAGAGCAGGCTGGGTGCAGTGGCTCACGCCTATAATCTCAGCACATTGGGAGGCCAAGCTGGGCAGATCGCTTGAGGCCAGGAGTTCGAGACCAGCCTAAGCTAACATGGTGAAACCCCATCTCTACTAAAAATACAAAAATTAGCCAGGCATAGTGGTGCTCGCCTGTGATCCCAGCTACTGGGAAGGCTGAGGCGCAAGAATCACTTGAACCCGGGAGGCGGAGGTTGCAAGTTCTGAGATCGTGCCACTGCACTCCAGCCTGGGCAACAGAGTGAGACTCTGTCTCAAAATAAAAAAAGAGAGAGAGCAAAGTCTTACTGGACTTTTGCAAATAACCACATTGCCATAAGAATACTCATGAATAGGCCAGCATGGTGGCTCACGCCTATAATCCTACCACTGTGGGAGGCCATGGCAGCCTGATCACTTGAACCCAGGAGTTCAAGATCAGCCTGGGAAACATGCCCCATCTCTACTAAAAAATACAAAAATTATCTGGGTGTAGTGGCACATGCCTGTACTCCCAGACCCTTGGGAGACTGAGGCAGGAGAACTGATTGAGCCTGGGAGGTCAAGGCTACAGTGAGCCATGATTATACCACTGCACTCCAGAGGGAGACCCTGTCTAAAAACAAAACAAAACAAAAAGAATACTTATGAATAGTTTTCAATTTTTAGATGGATTAAATTGGGAGAAAAAGTAAATGTTTCCACCTCTCTTTACAAAAGTGTTTCTTAAGGAATTGCTATAAACTATGGATAGCTTAAGAGAAAAAGTTTCCTTAAATTTAGAAAACAAAACAAGTAAAGAACCAATAATGTTTCAAATATATGTCATAAAAACATTACCCTGGCAGGGTGGCTCATGCCTGTAATCTCAGCACTTTGGGAGGCCAAGGCAGGAGGATTGCTTGAGCTCAGGAGTTTGAGACCAGCCTAGGTAGTATAGCAAGATCCTACCTCTACAAAAAAATTTAAAAGATTATAATAGCTGGGCATGGTGACATGTGCTTGTAGTCTCAGCTACACAGGATGTTGAGGTAGGAGGCTTGCTTAAGCCCAAGAGGTTGAGGCTGCAGTGAGCCTGGATGACAGAGCGAGACCCTCTCTCAAAAAAAAAAAAAAAAAGAAAAGAAAAGAAAATTATCTTCATCAGTTTTTAATTGAGTTTTGTTTGATTTTGACTAGATTTCAGGAATTCATCAGTTTCTTCATTAGAGTTCTGAAAAATTTTTATTTAGTTCATTGATCTTAAAGTTTTTAACTTTTTAAAAACTTGTATTTAAGATTACTTGTTAGAGTCTTTTCATGAATCTGATTGCAAATGCTTTTAGAGAAGAATCAGAACCATGGATGACAAAGACTTGTAACAACCATGGTTGAAAATCTTTTTTTTTAGACTATTAATTTTTTTTTTTTTTTGAGACGGAGTCTCACTCTGTTGCCCAGGCTGGATGGAGTGCAGTGGTGTGATCTCAGCTCACTGTAACCTCTGCTTCCTGGGTACGAGCAATTCTCCTGCCTCAGCCTCCCAAGCAGCTGGGATTACAGGCACGTGCATCCACGCCCGGCTAATTTTTTTAATTTTTAGTAGAGACGGTTTCACCGTGTTAGCCAGGATGGTCTTGATCTCCTGACCTTGTGATCCGCCTGCCTCGGCCTCCCAAAGTGCTGGGATTACAGGCATTAGCCACTGCGCCTGACCCCATGGTTAAAAATCTGATGGAAGTTCATTATAATCAGCAGTGGACAAGGAAATTTGTCAATTTGTTATTTATGTGTCACAAGCAATACAGAAGGTTACAAGGGTGTAAAAACAAAAAATCTTAACCCTTTCATAGCTCAGGTTTTATGAAAAAGTTGTGAATTTCATCAGACACAGGAAGAGTGTGTCCAAGGTTATGAGTTTCCATCATATTATAGTGGAATGTAAATAAGAAAACTAGCACCAGCTGGGCGCGGTGGCTCACGACTGTAATCCCAGCACTTTGGGAGGCCGAGGCAGCAGATCACCTGAGGTCAGTAGTTCAAGACCAGCCTGGCCAACATGGCAAAACCCCGTCGCTACTAAAAATACAAAAATTAGCTGTGTGTGGTGGTGGGTGGCTGTAATGCCAGCTACTTGGGAGGCTGAGGCAGGGAGAATCGCTTGAACCCAGGAAGCGGAGGTTGCAGTGAGCCGAGATCGTGCTGTTGCACTCCAGGCTATGCAGCAGACCAAGACTCCATCTCAAAAAAACAAAACAAAACAAAAACTAGCACCTTCAACTGGGGAATACCTGTTTCTTAGTTAAAAGCATGAGAAATTTCCTGGTTAAATGAAACAATTCAGGCACATCAAGAAAAGCCTAAAGTACAGAATCAAGTTATACTAAAGGAAAACATTGCTTTTCTAGGCCCTCAAGACAGAATATTTGAGTGTCAGGCCATAACAGCAGAGTTAGAACCAGAGAAAAAGAGCTACAGTAGCCGAGTGCAGTGGCTCACACCTGTATCCCAGTACTTTGGAAGGCCAAGGTGGGTGGATCACTTGAGCCCAGGAGTTCAAGACTAGCCTGGGCAATGTGGCAAAACCCCACCTCTAGGAAAAGTACAAAAATTAGCCATGCATGGTGGCATGCACCTGTGGTCCCAGCTACTCAGGAGGCTGAGGTGGGAGGATGGCTTGAGCCTGGGAGGTGGAGGCTGCAGTGAGCCATGACTATGCCACTGCACTCCAGCCTGGGCAGCAGAGCAAGACCCTGTCTCAAAAAAAAAAAAAAATTACAAAAGCTAACAAAAAACATTGAGAGTTACCACCCTAACCAAGTGAAAAGATGCATCCTTTCAAGGGGAGAAAGAGGAAGGGTGGAAGGCAGCAATGTATGTCCTGGGAATCACCAGGAAAGTGAACTTCATAGCACTCAATAAATAATTGTGTTGGCCGGGCATAGTGGCTCACTCCTGTAATCCCAGCATTTGGGAGTCCAGGGCGAGAGGATAGCTTGAGTTTAAGAGTTGGAGACCAGCCTGGGCAATATAGCAAGACCTCATCTCTACTAAGGAAAAATAAAAAATAAAAAGGGTCAGGTGCGGTGGCTCACTTTTGTAATCCCAGCACTTTGGGAGGACAAGGCGGGCAGATCACCTGAGGTTGGGAGTTTGAGACCAGTCTAGTCAACATGGAGAAACCCCATCTCTACTAAAAATACAAAATTAGCTGGGCATGGTGGCACATGCCTGTAATCCCAACTACTCAGGAGGCTGAGGCAGGAGAATCGCTTGAATCTGGGAGGCGGAGGTTGCAGTGAGCCGAGATCGCACCGTTGCACTCCAGCCTGGGCAATCAGAGTGAAACTCCATCTTAAAAAAAAAAAAAGAAAAATTAATCAAAATAAATAAATAATTGTGGCATGTTGCCTGAATATGAACAGATGTTGTATGTAGTACCTGTGGTTCCAGAGTGAGTGAGTAGCAAGCCCCCTTACCCTGAGACTGCCCTGCCTTCCTCCCTGCCCTTTGTCCCTTCTTCCTTTCTGATGACAAAAGTCAAGGAAGGAGGAAAACCCCGGAAGTTTCACATCTCCTCTGCCTGGGCTTCTTTGACCAGATGCTTTCCTGGGAGGCCAAGATAGGGGATGTGGAGGGAATACTGTTGATGAGCCCCTCCTCCCCAGGCACAGTGCCTCACCCAGACCTCCCTCCCTGCAGCAGGGAGGTGACCTCCTTATCCCTGTTCTACAGCTGAGAAGGCTGAGGTTTAGAAAGGCTGGGCAAGCTGCTCGAGGTCCCAGAGTCAGGGGTGGGGGCCGGGCTCCAGCCCAGAGCTCTAGCCGCTGACCCAGTGCTCTAAGCGTCCTTGTGTTACTCATACTTACCTTCCTCCCCACCTCCTAGCATCCCATGGGTCTGTATTGTGTGCCTGCTGGCCCTGGGATAGGAGCTGCAGCTTCAGGGCTCCCCAAAGCTGGGTTCTTGGTATTCGGAGGATGTGCTGTATCAGGGGAAGCTGCTGTTCACCTTTGCCCTCTATTTTATGTAACACCAATCTCTGGGTCTCACTCTCTTTCTTTGGGTTATTCTTCCAGCTCAAGAGGTTTGGATATGGACCTTCTTCAGTTCCTGGCCTTCCTCTTTGTCTTGCTTTTGTCTGGGACGGGAGCCACAGGCACCTTGAGGACTTCCCTGGACCCAAGCCTGGAGATCTGTATCCTTTAGGGTTGGTAGTTAATGAGCTGTCTTTGAGGGGTCTATAAATGAGGTTTCTCTACTCGGGGATTCCAGGGATAAGCAGCCCAGTTGAGGGGAACAGGGAGAAAAAGTGAGGTGCTCTAGCCAGACCTTGAGCAAGTCAGGTCTCTCCGGAGCTTCAGCTTCCGCATATAGTAAATGGAGATGACAAGGCCCATCTCTAGACTGCAAAGGCTCAGTGAGGACTGTGCATGGCCTGGCACCTTGTGGGCAAGATCCTGGGTGGAGACTCAGGAATTCTGGATTACTGGCCCATCTCGACCCTGGTGAACTGGGCCACCTGCTCCAGGCCAGGCCTCAGGGACACAAAGATGAATTACAACGAGTCCCCTGGGTTTGAGGTGTCCATAAGCCTAGGGGAAGAAAGTATCCAAACAAATGATCATTTTACTCTGTGACCAGTGCTCTGATGGGCACAGGAGGGGAAACACTGTGATGATTTTTGAGCCAGGCCTTGAAAGGATAGAAACTCCTAGAAGAGGGTGAGGGGCATTCTGGGCAGAGAGGGTGCAGCATGAGCAGAGAGGTGGAGGCTCTGGAACAGTGAATGCTTGTGGAGAGGGCAGGAAGACCACAGCGAAGGGAAGGCAGGAGCCATGTCTGGAGGCTTGGTTTCAGGCTTCTGGGTGTGGAGCATCATGGGAACTGGATGAATGGTGCTTTGCAGGGCCATGGACTTGTCAGTTTGTTCATTTCCTGGAGGCTTCTAGCCCTGGGCATCCATGACCCTTGCAGATACTTGCTGGTTAGGAATGAGCCTTCTGAGGCAAGACTGCTCGATTGTCCAGGCAGGGCTATTGATGCCAGCCCCTTAACTTAATGCTGCCCAGACAAGAAGATGTTTGAGGTGAAGCGGCGGGAGCAGCTGTTGGCACTGAAGAACCTGGCACAGCTGAACGACATCCATCAGCAGTACAAGATCCTTGATGTCATGCTCAAGGGGCTCTTTAAGGTGTGTGCAGGCAGGGGGCAGCTCTTGGCAGGTCCAGTCTTTGATCTGGGCACTGATGGGTAAATAGGAGTTCCCTAAGGGGATGGTGTTCAGGGACAAGGGAACTGCGTGCACATAAGACTTGAAGTGGGGTTTAAATAAATGGGGACAGAAGCAGTCTGTTATGGGCACTGTGAAGCCACTCAGCCCTGGCGGGATTCCTTCAGGTGCTGGAGGACTCCCGGACAGTGCTCACCGCTGCTGATGTGCTCCCAGATGGGCCCTTCCCCCAGGACGAGAAGCTAAAGGATGGTATGGTCTGCCCTATACTGCCCTGTCCTCGGCACCACCCGATCTTCTCTAGCTGCTTCTTCTCTCCTGTTCTTGTCACTCTTTTTTTCTCCCCGGAAGTGCCCTCTTGTGGCACCTTCCAAGTGGTCCCCTTGGGCAGATGGGCGCTTTGTGAGTGGCCTTCCTCGTTAACTGGCTACATTTTAGCAATAGCATTTCTTTTTTTTTTTTGAGACGGAGTCTCACTGTCACTAGGCTGAAGTACAGTGGTGTGATCTCAGCTCACTGCATCCTCCACCTCCTGGGTTCAAGTGATTCTCCTGCCTCAGCTTCCCAAGTAGCTGAGACTACAGACACACACTGCCACACCCAGCTAGTTTTTGTATTCTGAATAGAGATGGGGTTTCACCATGTTGGCCAGGATGGTCTCAATCTCTTGACCTTATGATCGGCCAACCTCGGCCTCCCAAAGCACTGGGATTACAGGCGTGAGCCACTGCACCTGGCCACGATAGCATTTCTTAGATTACTCTGAGAGGATAGCAGCAGCTCTTACATAATACATAGTGGACACTTTACAACCATCAACTCTAATCTCTACCATAACTCTGGGGGAAGACACTGTTCTCTCTACTTTCTATATGAAAGAGTACAAGTAATTTGCCTTGGCTCTTCCCTCTGAATCAAGCTGTCTTCCTGAGTTCTTTGAGGTTCAAGATTATTCTGAAGCCCCAGGGTCCCTGCCTGACATGTCTCAGACCCACCCTGGCATATCTTTGGAGACTACTTATCTTTCTGGGTAGCCTGGCTAGTGCTGGTGAGGGCTGCCTGGGCCCTCTCTTAGGGGCTGGCTTCGATAGGGACTGCTTAGAGCTGTTTACACAGTTATGCTTTTGGCTAACCTGGGTCTGGGGGACTTGCTACCATGATGGACACATGTTCCGTGGTGAGCAGGTCTGTGCAAACCTACCCTCCAAGGCCAAGGGAGCTGAGAGGTCCAGTTTCTCAGAAAGAAACATTCATTAGGAACTTCTGAACAGAAGCCATGTCTCAGGCAGAAATGAGATGGTGGTCTCTGCACCCAACCTCCAGAAAGTATTCTTTATTTGTTATTTTGCAGATGACAATGCTTGTACAGAAACTATTCTTTTTTTTTTTTCTTTTCTTTTCTTTTCTTTTGAGACAGAGTCTCACTCCATCACCCAGGCTGGAGTGCAGTGACACAATCTCAGTTCACTGCAACCTCTGCCTCCCAGGTTCAAGTGATTCTCATGCCTCAGCCTCCCTCAGCTAGAATTAGAGACGTGTGCCCCCAGGCCCGGCTAATTTTTGTATTTTTAGTAGAGACGGGGTTTTGCCATGTTGGCCAGGCTGGGTCTCGAACTCTTGATGTCAAGTGATCCACCCGCCGTGGACTCCCAAAGTGCTGGGATTACAGGGGTGAGTTACACATGCAGCCAAAAGTATTGTTTATACAGCAAGCTTTTAGGTTAAAACATGCAGCTGGTGACATCTCAGGCTTTTGTGTGAAACTTGTGACCATTGGGGAAGTTAAATAATCATCTTTTTGAGGGGTTATCTATGCTACAGGCGTTGTTTAAAGACCTTGCTGCGGAATACTTTGGTGTGCAGCGGTCAAACCTCAGCCATTATGGCTTCAAGATGGCGCCACGCTTGTCTCGCAGCAGGCTGTTTTCCTGCAGCACACTAACAAAGCTCACTTTAAACTGACCTGTTGATCAGTAGAAGCACATTAGTGGGAAAACAGAAAATTCAAATTAAGTCTGTTAGGTTAGTTGGTAGTATTGTATTGCTGTTAATTTCCTGGTTTAGATAGTTGCATGTTGGTTATATAAGATGATAACTTGGCCAGGCATGGTGGCTCACGCCTATAATCCCAGCACTTTGGGAAGCCGAGGCAGGCAGATCACTTGAGTTCGAGTTCTAGACCAGGCTGGCCAAACATGGTGAAACCCTGTCTCTACCAAAAATATGAAAAAGTAGCCGGGTGTGGTGGCACATGCCTGTAATCCCAGCTACTCGGGAGGCTGAGGCAGGAGAATCACTTGAACGCGTGAGGCAGAGGTTGCAGTGAGCCAGGATCTCGCCACTGCACTCCAGCGTGGACAAGAGAGCGAGACTCCGTCTCAAAAAAAAAAAAAAAAAGATAACATTAGAGGAAGCCAAATGAATGAATTTTATGTTGTATTATGTAAGTCTAAGATAATTTCAGGCTGAGTGCAGTGGCTCATGCCAATAATCCCAGAACTTTGGAAGGTCGAGATGTGAGGATCACTTGAGGCCAGGAATTTGAGATCAGCCTGGGCAACAAAGTGAGACTTCACCTCTAAAGTAATTAATTAATTAATTATATTCATTCGTTCATTCAAAATAAGAACTTAAGCACTTAAAATGAAATAAAATGGAAAGAATATTAAAAAAGAAAAATGCTGGCCTGTTGTCTGGCCATCCTAAGAGACCTGAGGTCTCACAGACACTCTAATTGTATTAACACCAGGGCCAGCACTGGACATTTGGATAACATGTTGGTTGGGAGGTCAAGCCCAGCAAAGCCTCATGTGATGCATCAGCATCTGTGTGCAGAACAACACTCACTTCTCTGGTCCCCATAGCAAATGAGTCTTCTAAGCAGCAAGATGTGCCTTTGGGCTGACAGACCTGGGTTTGCAGCCCAGATTTGCTACTCATTAGCTGCTGAGACTCAGTTTCCCATCTGTAAAATGGGAACAGCAGCCACATCTCCCTCTAAAAGTGGTTATGAGGACTCAGTGAGCTAGTGGGTGTAAGGCCCTAGTTCGCACTATACATGTGATTGGCAGCCTGTGGTCAGTAGGCACTGTTCCTTCCTTGGTGGGTTTGGTGGATGTCTCTATTCTCTGGAGGATGCCAGGGACCAGCGAGGCAGCCAGGACAGCATCTGCCCTGGCCACTCATCAGGGTCCTCTTGCCAGCTTTCTCCCACGTGGTGGAGAACACGGCCTTCTTCGGCGATGTGGTGCTGCGCTTCCCGAGGATTGTGCACTATTACTTTGACCACAACTCCAACTGGAACCTCCTCATCCGCTGGGGCATCAGTTTCTGCAACCAGACGGGCGTCTTCGACCAGGGTCCCCACTCGCCCATCCTCAGCCTGGTAAGGATTGGGGTGGAGGTGGCCCGGGAGCCCTCTGTCTTGGTGGTGGACTAAGATCCTCACATCTGCCTTCAGTCGGGCCTGGATGTCAGTGCTTGGCTACATTTTCTTTGTGGAGCTTCAGGGTATCTTGGGCCACAGAGGTCCCATTTCAAGGGGTTCTGTGCTCACCCAGTTCCCATGGGGTCATCACCTGGCTCACATCTGCCCAAGTCTGGAGTCTGGGTCCCAGCATGGAGGGAGTGACTCTCTGGTGAGCAGAACTCAGGAGAAGGCAGAGGATGACGAGTGATTCTTCATCTGCAGATGGCCCAGGAACTGGGGATCAGTGAGAAAGACTCCGACTTCCAGAACCCATTTAAAATCGACCGCACAGAGGTGAGCTGCCAGGGCCTATGCCTGTGTCTGCTTTGCCTCTGCTGGGCCATAGGACGCCGAGGCCTGCAGGGGCTGGGGACCTCAGGTGGCTTTGGACTTGGAGCCAGGCAGCCTGGGCCTGGGTCCAGAAGCCATCACTGAGTCATTGGAACCTGTGGGCAAGTCACTGCTCCCCTCTTAGCCTCAGCCTCACTGTCTTTTCACAGCGTGTGAACTCCAACCATGGGGGGTAGTTAGGTGGCTATGAACAAACCCATCCCAGCACAAAACAGGCATCCCACTTCAGGTGGATATCAGGGCAGCCAGGGAGGTCAGGCCATGCTCTTCCCTGCCTTTGAACCTCTTAGCACCAACTAGGCTTCCATCCCGCACTCCTGTACGTGCTCTTATTCCAGGGGGCTAAGGTGGGCTTTGAGAACTGTAAGTTTGGGATAAAAGATGAGGACAGGCCGGGCATGGTAGCTCATGCCCGTAATCCCAGCACTTTGGGAGGCCAAGGCAGGTGGATCACCTGAGGTCAGGAGTTCGAGACCAGTCTGACCAATATGGTGAAACCCCGTCTCTACTAAAAATACAAAAACTTAGCCAAGCGTGGTGGCACATGCCTGTAATCCTAGCTTTTCAGGAGGCTGAGGCAGGAGAATCACTTGAACCCAGGAGGCAGAGGTTGCAGTGAGCTGAGATCGTGCCATTGCACTCCAGCCTGGGCAACAAGAGTGAAACTCCGTCTCAAAAAAAAAAGGACAGGGACAGATACGATAGAGTGAGGAAGGGATCGGAAGTGGCAGGGCTAGGAGGGGCAGGAAGGAAGGGCCGTGGTGACTGGAGGACTGGACTTGTCAAGCCACATGCTGGTCCCTGGTGTGGAGAGAGGTGTTGGGTGTCTGAGGGGTCTAGGATTTAACTCTGCCTCCAGGCCAACAAGCTAGCCTGCTACTATTTCATGGACACTGACAGGTCAGAGATATTGGACTATATTACAGCAAAGGCAGTAGCTAGACTGTTGGCCTGATTGTGTTGATTCACCTTGTTCCCCAAGTCCCATGGGGGTGACACAGAGAGGGCCAGGTGGGCGCTGTGCATGCAGGGGGTGTGCATCACAGCTGAGAACTGCCAAGCTGGGGAAATTCATGATTTTTTATAGCAAACGTGCTCTTTGGGAGGAGATATCACCACACCCTTCAAGGTTGCTCTCTGTAAACACAGTCCTGAGACATAGCCCAGGTAAAGAGTGGTTAGGGCTTTGTATCTTTGGTGTGCACTGCAAGAATATGCAGGGATGCTCAGGGCCATGACGGATTGCTGTGCCAACAGTCTGCCCCAAGCCCTCCATGGCTTGGTTTAACTCAAATTTTCACACAAATGTGCTATTCAGTCTAATTAATCTGACTGATAGAGGCTAGGACCAAATCTGTTCAATTAGTCTCATACTTCATTTAATTCATACTACTATCAACTATATTCTGAATAGCAGGATAAGGCCAACCTACATTATTATTATTATTTTTTTTAGAGACAGGGTCTCGTTCTGTCACCCAGGCTCTGTCACCCACCTAGCTTACCTTGAACTCCTGGGCTCAAACAGACCTCCCACCTCAGCCTCCTGAGTAGCTGGGATGACAGGCCTGTGTGACATCATTCCTGGCTAATTATTATTTTTTCAGAGACAGGTTCTTACTGTGCTGCCTAGGGTGGTCTCAAACTCCTGGGCTCAAGCCGTCTTCCTGTCTCAGCCTCCCAAAGTGTTGGGATTATAGGTGTGAGTTACTGTGCCTGGCCCCTAACCTGCAACATTGATCAGGGTCCTGGACTCAACCAGCTGTGAAGGTCTTGGAGGACCAGTAAGTCTCATTTTGGATAATCAGGATATGGTCTAATACCAATTTGTTATCCACGACCACCCATATAAGAGAGTTTAGATTGACCTGCCAATCTTTGATGTTATTGCCAATAATTACAGGGGGCAATAGATGGACCCAAGCAACCTTCATGCCCCCATAAGGAGACATTTCATGACCCATTCTCTCCCACATGTTACACTTGATTTGAGTCACCAGAACAATGTTTAGCTGAGCCTGAGGGCAGTGTCACTGTGGAGCTTCAGCCTCAGTTGTCCTACATGGTATAATCCAAGGCTACTCACACATCAGGAAAAGCAGATGGATTTGTATCTGTCAGGTTGAAACAAAATTGTGCTGGCTGGTATGTCTGCACAAGGTCACTGGTAAGAACTATCTTTGATGGCATTAGACACAGCAGAATAGCTCATTACTGACATGTCCATGTGAGTTTTTCTATCATGTGGATGGGAATGAGACACCCAACAGTTGGCCATATTGACAGCTGCAGCTGCCACTGGGCTTGGGCAGACCCTAGAATTGTTTTGCCAGGTGGCAGTGATGGATCTAAGGGATAAAGAGAGCATTAATTGTTCCCTGCACTTTCTGGGATCTAAGGTATTTCCTGCCTGGGTGGCAGGATTATTGCTATAAAATCCATGTGTCCTTGGGAGACCGAGGTGGGCAGATCATGAGGTCAGGAAATCAAGACTGTCCTTGCCAACATGGTGAAACCCCATCTCTACTAAAAATACAAAAATTAGCCGGGTATGGTGGCACACGCCTGTAGTCCCAGCTACTCAGGAGGCTGAAGCAGGAGAATCGCTTGAACCCGGGAGGTGGAGATTGCAGTGAGCCAAGATCGCACCACTGCACTCCAGCCTGGTGACAGAGCGAGACTGTCTCAAAAAAAGAAAGCATATGTTCTATGCCACCTATGCCAGCATCTATAGTTTCACTTTTTCTCCAGTTGTTGCCTACTATGACCTAGACCTTTCATTCAGAAATGTCAGGTATGAATGGGACCAGGGCATTTTTACAGATGTATAGAGACCTGTTGTATCTCTTATCTTTACCCACATGGGCCACTGCAGGGAAATCAGCAAGCAGGATACTCAGCCAAGTGGTCACAATCCTAACAATCTCAGGCCATACCATTCCAACCAGAGATTCAGGTAGTTGAACCAGAAATATAGAATCCTCTGTTTTGTGCCGCTCCTTGGTAGTAGGTACGTTACCACGCCAAGTACAATGATACATTTAGGTGGCAGTGATCTGGATGAAGTAGGCTTGATCAGCAGTTTGACTCCATTTGGTCTTATCAGAGATTGAGCTTTATGATGGGCATCTAAACAAGTGAGCCAGGCTGTCTAGTTTGTCACCACAATTTGTTTCCATAGTTTGTGGCCCTAAAGAGGGATAGGTATCACCAGGCATGGTGGCTCATGCCTGTAATCCCAGCACTTAGGGACCAAGGCAGGTGGATTGCCTGAGGTCAGGAATTTGAGACCATCCTGGCCAACATAGTGAAACCCTGTCTCTACTAAAAATACAAAAATTAACCAGGTGAGGTGATACACACCTGTAGTCCCAACTACTCAGGAGGCTGAGGCAGGAGAATCACTTGAACCCAGGAGGCAGAGATTGCAGTGAGCCAAGATCGCACCACTGCACTCCAGCCTGGGTGACAGAGCAAGACTCTGTCTCAAAATAAATAAATAAATAAAAAGAGTGGGGTAGGTATCTTTGATCTGCCATTTTGTAATCTCCGGATGACCAGGACACTGACAATAGTCAGTAAGAATATAACATGCATAGTTGTTAGAAAGGAGTGTCATCCAAGGCAAGAGTGATAGGTTTTAATTCAGGCCATTGTCTGACTGGCCTTTCTATGGCACTTAGTCCACCAGCATTGTTACTGGGGCTGGCTGACTGCTGCTGCTCATGGACACCTGTGTCAGGTTCCCACAACCACTCCCAGGCTTGATGGTTCAATAGGAGGATTCACAGGACTCAGTATATGGTCACATTCATGGCCACGATTTATACAGAGAAAATATACAGAGCAAAATCAGTAAAGGGAAAAGGTACATCAGGCAAAGTCCGGGGAAACAGGCTCAGCTTCCAGAGTCCCCTCCCAGTAGAGTCAAACAGGATGTGCTTCATTCTTCCCGCAATTAGTTGTGACAACATGTTTAAAATGTTTTCTACCAGGAAAGTTCATGAGGGACCTAGTGTCTGAGTTTTTATTGGGAGCTAGTCATGTGGGTACTTTTTGCCTGACTTATGTCAAAATGGCAAACTCCCAGGAGCAAAGTATGTATTCAGCAGAAACCATATTGTTTGCACAAACAGTTTTGGCACAGTGAACCATTGTTAGCAGTTAGGGGGGTGGGGGCCCTCCTGAAATGCAAGTTCCCAGATGTCTGCCAAGGGCTAACCTTGGAAGCAGGCCTTTCAAAGGATAGGAGTCAGGCCAGCTGTGTTAACTTTTTTCTGTACAACACTGTTAGCTTTTATATTAGCTGAATTACAGTGGGCTAGGCCTGAATATTTGGGGGAACCTGTGAATCGAGGGTCCTGTTGAGCCAGTGGCTTTGCTTTATGTGGCAGAGTGGGGGATGTGGTTTCCTCAGTGGGGTAGCTGCCACCCCTGCATGCCCAGCTGAAATGACACATCCCCCAAGGTTGCTTGCTGCAATCATTACCCTGATAAATGGCCCAGATCAAGAACAGCCACAGCCTTCCATTCTTGGTTTATACAGCAAGAAAACATGTGTGGACACTCAAGGCCATGACAGATTGCCTTTCCCAGCAAGGGGTCACCCATGGAGATGCTTTATTGCTGTGATGCCAGTTCTTCTTGCTATGCAGGTCATAGATGCCTCACTTAAACGCAGGAGAAGGGTGACAGCGTAGGCCACAGAGACAATGGGTGCCATGATAAGTTGAGTCCAGCTTTATCATAATGTGCTCTACTTGGACATAACCACAGCAGCAACATACTTTCCTTACATGCTGGCTGGGGACAGTTCCGAGATTTTCCTCACTTTTTGATATCCCACATGGGCTTGCCTCACAGGAGCCCCGGATTTGCTCGACTTCCCTCACACACTCCCTCCATGCTGGTGAGAGTTCTGAGTTCTACTTCTTATGTACCCA